AAATACAAGCTGTAAATTTTTAAAATTTGATCAAAGTGAACATAAATACAATTCAATACCAAATACGGTAAGTGGCATGCATGATGCGGCTGATCTGCATTGCAAGCATACTTATTTACATAATAAGTAGTTTTGAGTCAGCTAATAAGTAAAAGCTTACTTCCGAAGGACCAATATGTAAAAACACCACGAAAAATCCCTATTCACCGAGAAAAACAAAAGAGCGCGAAATCTTATCTCCTCTCTGAAACTGAGGGGAAAATGTCGGCTTCTTCTTCCTCTTTAATTCACCCTAGTCTCGTCCTGACCTCGGCCGGCGGTGACAATATCTCGATCTCACCGCCGTCGAATCTCTATCCGATGCTCGAGCGCCGCCGCCGCCGCGACGCGGACGAGAAAGCTCTGAGAGTGACGACGGTGAAGAGCGGCGACGGCGGCGACTCGCTGGCGATCTGCCGGCGTCCTCAACGCGGATGTGGCAGACCACGCGGCCGGGTTGGGGCCGCATCGACCGTGACACTGCCGTACGATTGCGCATGCTTCGCTACGCTGATGCTGGCCTGTCCACCTTCGACATGGCCGATCACTGTAATTTACTAATGTCGTGTTGTTTTATTTGATTTAGGTTCTAATTGAGGGTGCTAATGAATTTTTAAAAAAAGAAATCGGCTAACTTTAGTAAAGTTGCTATCTTTTTGTTAGTGAACTCTTAAGCTTGAATTATAGGATTCAGTCTTTTTCTTCAAATTTCTATCTTTTCTTTTCCTCAGAGTGAGGTTAGTTTACCGATTCTAGTTCTTGACACGAGTTTAACGATATTGGCAAGTCAAAATTTTCTATTTGTTTTAGGGGAATGAGAAATATGCTTCTGTAACGCCCTAGCTCATAATTTTTTAAAGTAAAGTTGCTATCTTTTTGTTCTTCACATGATGTTTATATTATTTGAGTTTGTAATGTGTTATTCTTTGAGGGAAATTTGAAATATGCTCCCCTAATGCCCTAGCCCCTATTTCTTTTTATTTGTTTATTGAAGATGATATCCTTTTGTTCTTCGCATAATGTGGAATTGAGAGATTAGCTCACATTGGTTAATGATTACATCATTTGGAACTATCAGAAAGTTTAATGAGTTTGCTTGTGAATCCCAGACTTGAACAGCAACACTTTAGGTTTTATCTTCGAATTTCTGTTACGAGCTTAATGTAATGGCTCTAATCCTTGTAAGGATGAGTACAAAGGGAGTCAAAGACGTCGCTTTGACGCAATAACTAATGCCAACTGTGATGATAAAATGGCTATTTAATGTATTTTCTATGTTTATTTTTTGCTTGTAACATATCAGGCCACTGTTCCTATATATATGTTCATCACGGGTGAGCGGACTATAGTTTATGCTCATTTAACTTTAAGGATTTTTAACACTCTATCCAGAAAGCACTTTAGTATATATCTTATTTCTTCTAAATATTCGTTTTGATCTCCGACAGATGGACCGGCGGAGGATTTGTATGGTATCTTTATCAACAAAGTTCGCCGTGAGCGTCCTCCAGAATTGCTCGAAGAGATCAAGGGGTGAGATATCATTTCATTTTGATTGTTTCAATAACATCAGAACAAAATCAAAAGAGAATTAAAGCTATTTGCATTTAGGACTAGCCAGCCATTACAAATTTGAGTTGTTATTTGTTTTATTCAGTGATAGGGTATAATCATATTGTTGAGAGATTCTTCCAACTGCTCATGTGCCTTTTCAGTGTCATAAAGATATCGGGGTTTTTCTCCTTTTGAAGTTTAGCTGAGCTGAACTGTCTCCATGCTTGAGTACACTATAAGAATTAGAATACTCAATTCTTTCGATAATGAAAACCTAGTTATGTGAAACTCTCCAGTCTACTTATGTGCATCAGGTTGATGGTTATTGTATTACTTATCTCATGATTTTGCCTGCAGTCTTACAAAGTGGGTGCCACCGCCTGTTAAAATGACAAGTACCTATGTGCGGGAGAACATAAATGTTTCACGAAAGAGGATGGACGTAGCTTCCTTGGACATGCTCCAGTTCCATTGGTATTTCTTTGGTCCCTGTCTTTTTTACTTGATTGAGAATTATCTGTTCTTTAGGTTGTGCAATGTGTGAATATACGCTAAGATGTGATGTCTGACATGCACGTGCACCTTTTTCTTTTAAAAAAAGGATATCATGTCCCTTGTTTTTTTTCTTCCTAGTTCTTAAAAAGGAGTCAATATGTATCTTTTGGGTCATTATTAATTGTTTTGTCGGTGGGTTGCTAAATTCTCTTAGCTGTACGGGTCTCACTTTAACTTTCTTTGTGGTGTATAATGCCGTCATAGTCCTACAAGTTTCAAGATTTGAATGTGTGCAGCATTTGGTCAATGTTCCTAGGTTCACTCATCCTATTAAAGAATCAGTAGATTATTTATTATTATTTTTAAGTGACTGAAGGAGTAAAATTTTGCATTTTGTTTATTCAACTTGACAATATATGAGGGTATGCCTACGAAGCAAGTAAAAGATGATCATAAAGTTTAGCTCTTTAGATAATCTGTGAAGAGTTAGGTTTTTAGATTTGAAAATGTCCAAATGTGTGTTGGTCTTATGATGCAGCTCAATACACAAAATGTTGTTTCTTTTCTGCACCATCTCTTCTCTTTCTTTCTTGTGTCATGCTGAAGCGTACCTGAAGTGAGCATCTACAACTATAGACAAATCAGTCACATGTTTCTCCTTAGATGCCTTTATCAAAAGAACCAACTTATCAAATGCTATTACAAGTATGGAGTTTCATTCTCCAGCACATTACTATGATAAATCAGGGCATCTGATACTTGAATATTTGTTAATCTGTTATCATCCTTTTGTAATTTGTGCTGGCATGGTGTATCTATAAACAATACTACCTGCTGTACAGTATCAGTATGCATGTTATATTTCAGTGTCGTTTTCTAGTGACAAAATTTATGTCTCTCCTTAAATCAGGTGGGATTACTCTAATCCTGGATATCTTGATGCGTTAAAGCACCTCGCCGATCTGAAAGAAGAAGGTTAGATAGTCAAATTGTTGGATAATTTTATTTGAAGTTTTTAGGGGCAAATACATCCACAATGTCATGGTAAGGCATCTCCTTTGATCTCATCTAATTCTTTTGCTGAAAAGTATGCAGGTAAAATCAAGACTCTTGCTTTAACTAATTTTGATACCGAAAGGTTACACATAATTCTCGAAAATGGGATCCCAATTGTCAGCAATCAGGTGACTATCTCTGCTTTCCAAATTTCTCTTACTGCAGTTTTTTGCAGTCCTAATTGCGAGGTGCTGAAACTGTATACTAGGTACAACATTCTATTGTAGACATGCGCCCTCAACAGCGAATGGCCGAGCTCTGTCAGCTTACTGGAGTCAAACTGATAACGTCTCTCTCTCCTACACATGTGCACATGACCATTTTCTTCTTATTATTTTTTAAAAGCTAATCAATATGTTAGATTTGGATGCAGATATGGAACAGTGATGGGTGGTCTCCTCTCTGAGAAGTTTCTGGATACCAATTTATCAATCCCATTTGCTGGTCCTCCTTTGAACACCCCATCTCTGCAGAAGTATAAAAGGGTAATTCTTTTTTCAACTAGACTGTGTATACTCCTGTACGCAGCTATTATTTGTGTAATTTGGAAATTATGCAGTATTTATAAGCGATGGGGATATATTTCAGATGGTTGATGCTTGGGGAGGTTGGGGTCAATTCCAAACTTTGCTTAAAACATTGAAGAATGTTGCTTCTAAACATGGGGTCTCCATTCCAACCGTTGCTGTTAGGTACATACTGAATCAGGTAAATCTGCTCGTACACTTTCATGTTATGTTGTAGTTTTCGCTGCAACGGTGATTACAATGCAAGTATCAGTTATAACCCGCATGCGACTACCATCATATGCAGTTGCAGTTGTTTGGTGAGGTTTAGAATTCCATAATTTGCTGCAGTTGTAGTATTCGATGTCTGTTTTGTGGTAATATGATCTATTGGTTGTTGGCTGCAATTGGAGTTATACCCATTTGTAGCAACAAATGGTTGCAACTGCGACTTACGTCTAAATCCGCATAAGATGTTGGCTGCATTGAAGTCCTTTTGCAACTGTAGTCGAAACTACATTTATCAGTCGCAGTTAACAATCAACTGACTCAAATTATTGCAGTTGCATGCAAATGCAATTATAGACACTACGATTAGAGTGAACCATTCTTATAAAAACTTAGTGGGTGCATCTAGGGGTGCAAACAGATCGGGCACGGTTTGGACTTATCATATCCATATCTGCTTAGCAATCACAGATACGGATACAAATATGGATATGTCTGGTAAGGATAAATCATATCCATATCCGCCAAAATCGAGCACACATACAGATAACATAGGAGAAAATGTATTCGGATTTAAAACGGACATGAGGAAAACAAATAAAATTTGTAAAATATATATCTCACATGATACAAGACAGTTCATTAAAATATTCCGCATATCTGGACAGCTAAGATCATAGATCTTTGGATCATCAAAATTAATCTCAAATCGATTAATCTAATGTTCACTACAATTGCAACTGTATAATCGCCATGTATTGGGGTATTTCGAACGCAGATCTAGATATTTCTCTACTTACCCATATCCGTATAATATAGATGCTTAGTATAACGGATATGAATATATCCGCGGATACAGATTTTTTTTCGCACCCCTATGTGCATCCCACTTCCTTTTTTTTTTGTTTTAACTTGCCATTTCTTTTGCTTTGTTTTGGAAAACTACAGCCATCAGTTGCTGGATCGATGATAGGAGTTAGGCTCGGACTGGCAGAGCACATTAAGGACACAAATGCTATATTCTCCCTTGCTTTGGATGAAGAAGATATGAACAGCATCTCCGAGATATCGAAGAAAGGGAAAGACCTGATGAAAGTAATTGGTGACTGTGGTGATGAGTACAGAAGAGCGTAAGTTCAGACAAACTTGAGATTGAGAATCCTAGTCTACTGAGGATTTCCTCACTTAAGTGCATAATGGAACAGTTGCTATCATAGCCTTATCATCTTCAATGACTTAGAAGTTACCATAAATTCACATATTTTGAGGGTTTGAGCCATGAAAAATCATAGTAACTTTATTATTGAAAAGTTGTAAATCTATATTCAGTAGTAGATCTATGTTCAAGGATTCAGTATACCTGTATAATAATAAGATAACCTGATTACTGATATTGTGTTTATTGATAGTATTTACTTCTTCATCCAAATGCTTGATTCAAACCTTACTCCTAAGCTGCTATAGACTTCCCCTTTACTCGTTGCAAAAATGTGTCATTTAAATATTTGAAGGAAATAGTACCTTTGGTTCAATATATTGATAGATCTAAATTGATTCCTTGAAGCACCTATACAGTGATGACTCTTGCAGTTTATTGCAAACGCGCTCTGTGAACTACAGGAGGTTAGCTAATTTACCTCTAAAATTTTCTAATAGCACGTAGAGCCTCTGGCATCCCAACCGAGTCATCTTCTCATTATCGTATTCATCAAATGAATGTCATGTAACATCAATATGTTGCATCAATATGTTGCAAAAACATCATATAATAATTCATGTGTCCGCTATTTCCTCGTAAGCGTTTAACATGTACTATCTATGGTACAAGTACAAGTAACAGAGAGACACTTTTGTTTGGATACGAGGGGTCTGAATGCTAATAGGAAACTTTAGGAGAAATAAACGGCTACCCCGCTATAGTAACAGGGCCTATCTGCAATTAACCCTTATACTTGTACACCACATGCACACACACTCAAGTTCAACATCCTCTTTCACAAAATGAAATAAAATACATCCATAGCTAGAACATTGAGGGCATACCAAACAGGGCGCATCACAATGCACATAATATTACATAATCATATAAATTACTTCACATACAATACTTTACATACAAAAGGATTCCCATAACCATGCTGCACAAGTACACACAAAGTTCCTTCGATAGAAGGATAGACTACTACAACATTAAAACTCGAGAAGATACACGCTGCCTGCAGATTTCTTATTCTTATCTATAATTTGGCTGTTGGCCTTCACAGTTTTAAAAGTCTCTGCTCAGCTGCATCAGACAAAAGACAATATGAGAATAGGACTCTATATGACCAAACAAAAGATCCGTTATCGAAATAAGAAAGATGCATCAAATAGATAAATACCTGTATTTTAAGATTAAAATTGCATGACATTATATGGTAGCCATTTTCATATGCAGTTCCTTTCAGAAAATTACATTATGCTTAGAGACATGTAAGAAGATGAAAGGGTGACGGCATATAATGATAAGGGAGAGCAGTCTTATCTTAGCGTCTATAACATGAAGGCCTTTGAAAATTTCCTAAAGTACACAGCAGTTATGTAAAGGCCAAATAAGTATTGGGGCAGTTATCTATAATTTGGCCTATACCTGCTAATACTTATTTCTAGAAAATATATACTTCATTTCTAAGTTGGCAGTCACTCATGAGTACAAACACAAGTTTTGATACGAGGCGATAATAAAAAGATAGTTATAACCATATCTGCATGCACATCACAAAGGAAGGAGATAATAGCAAGATAGTTATAAACATATTTGCATGCACATCACAAAGAAAGGAGACTCGTTGCATTTGAAATTTACCTGCACCATAGTGTTTCAATTTTGCCTGCAAACGAAAATATTCATCCTTAACCATATTTAACGCCCTCAAGCACCTACGGGAAAAAAATTTCTCATTAATAAATGTCTTCAAACATATGGGTTGCAACTGGAATTATATTTTGAATCCCATTTGCAGCTCACAAATGTGCAACTATGATTTATGTCCTAATCCATGAAGTTGTCAGCTGCAAGTGAAGGGCTTTTTGCAACTGAGGTCGAAGCTGTATTTATCAGTTGCACCAAATGACCAAATTATAACTGACTCGAAATATCTCAGTTGCATAAAAATGCAGTTACAATGAACTATTCTTTTAAAAACATGTTAGCGCATCCCACTTCCTTTTGACTGTTTTGACTTGGGCACTTGCTTTACCTTGTTTTGATTTGAAATGCTTAATGGGACATTTGTCTTCACATCTTCCATAAATTCACATGTACACATATGCTTTGTATAAACATGATTCAGCAAGGACGACTCACACTTTATATACACTAAAATCAAATAAAAACACAAACTGGATAAGAGAACACATGGGACATATATATATATACAAAGCGAATGGAAAATAGATAAATGAAAATATTTAAATCAGGTAGTAAAAAAGTTAAAGTAAAACAAAATCTTTTGAATCAGAGTTCAAATATTTGACACATCTAAAAAACTAAAGGCTAGTTGTCTAAATCATCAAAACTTATCGCAATTCCATAATCTAAGGTGAAAATTTGTTTGATAAATACATATATTCAAATATTCAGAAATCAATTGAGACTTACAATGCGGACACACTAAGGTTCAAAATCCTCTTCCTTAATCAGTAACTAGATCATTCAGGACACGTCTAAACTCATACAATTACACTTCAAATGACACATACAACAATATAAATTACTTTACACCCAAAGTACTTCCCATGACCATGCTGCACGAGTACACAAAGTTTGTCAAAAGAAGGATAGTTGATATGGAACATACAGACCTTGTACGGCTATTATACGCTTAATCTTCTCCAGTTTGGTATATAAATAATCTACTACAACATTACAACTCGTGAAGATACACAGTGCCTGCAGATGTCAGATTCTTTTTATCACTTATGTCTTTTAATTTAGCTGTTTGGCTTCACAGTTTAAAAGTCTCTGCTCAGCTGCATCAGACACAAGACTATATGAGAATAGCACACCATATACAACTACATGGAAAATCAGTTATCCAAATAAACAAGATGGCATCAACAAGATAAGTAGTTCTATTTTGATCAAATTTTCATGACGTTATAGGGACAAATAAGTATGGGGGCAGTTATCTTTAAATTTCGCATATAGCAGCTAATATTTATTTCTAGAAATTACTTTGTTTCTTAAGTTGACTGACACTAATGAGCACAAATATACAAGTTTGGGTATAAGATGATAGAAAAGGAAATTATAATTATAACCATATCTGCAAGTGGATTACAAAAAAAAAGAGATACTTTGCATCTTAATTTTACCTGCACCAAAATGCTAAATTTTGCCTGCAAACGATAATATTCATGCTTAACCATATTTAATGCCCTCAAGCACCTGAGGGGAATAAAATACTACCATTAGTTTCCTCAAACATATAAGGAATATTCTAGAGCACAGGATTTACATGTTGTAGGTATGAAAATCCTACTTACCCTTGTTTATCATGTACTTCACAATATTGACGGAAATGCACGCAAGCCACCATGATGTTATGTGCACCGATGCTGATTAAAAAGTTTCATTTGAAACGATGAGGATCAAAAGGAACAAATATCAGCAAAATAATTCAGAGCCATACATGAACATTAATATCTTTATTGGAAATAATTTTAAGAATTTTAATAAGCACAAATTTATCTAGCGGGATTCCGTAACAATTGAATAAAATATATGAATAGCCATGCTTGTTTAGAAAGCACTAAAACCTACAGCAAGTGTTAAAGAACATAACCAAAAAAAAAAAAAATCCAGCAGTCAAGGTTTCAGTTTCTTAGGATATATGAGATACATGCATGTGTCAGTGGTTAAATTTCACATCGTGGTAGTTGAATGAAAAACTACAACTTTCACTTATTTGTGAATGTGAAATTTAACAATTCAACTAAACTGCCGAAAATTCATAAAAGCACACGACATAAGTAGAAGCAATCATATATCTTGTATGCATTACCATGATATGTTTGGAGCTGTATATCTCCGACATCCCTGTATTCTTTACCTTGCCCTCCTGGCGTTATACATATCTATCTATAGAAGCACTTATCCATGTGACTGAGTCTGTGTCAGTGTCAGTGCATGTATGTGCGTATGCATGTAAATAATAGCTTTACATTCAAATTTCTACCTGATTATCATCTTACAACAAACAATAACAACAACCAAGCCTTTATCCCAAATGTTTGGGGTCGACTACATGAATCCTATTTTTCCATTCCATTCTGTTGCAGGTCAATTCCTCCGTTACGTTAGTCTTAATCATATCCTTCTTAATTGCTTCTAACCAAGTCATTCTAGGTCGACCTCTAACCTGATTACCATCTTAATAATAGTAATTATACATATCTATCTATAGAAGCACTTATCCATGTGACTGAGTCTGTGTCAGTGCATGTATGTGCATATGCATGTAAATAATAGCTTTACATTCAAATTTCTACCTGATTATCATCTTACAACAAACAACAACTACAACCAAGCCTTTATCCCAAATGTTTGGGGTCGACTACATGAATCCTATTTTTCCATTCCATTCTGTTGCAGGTCAATTCCTCCGTTATGTTAGTCTTAATCATATCCTTCTTAATTGTTTCTAACCAAGTCATTCTAGGTCGACCTCTAACCTGATTACCATCTTAATAATAGTAATACATCTAAAATAACAGTAATGCATTTGAGTGTCCAGCACAATGCATTTCTTAAATGTACAGAAAAATATCGCATTGAACATTCTAAAGGTGAAACTGTTACCTTTTATTTCTAGAGGGTATCAACTAAGTAAGGGGGTCATGTAAGGCAGATATGATATTTTCTACCTCAAGAGACAAACAGATAAAATGTGGGTTCACAGGAAAGCAGGTTGGGCATGCCCGCCCTTGGCATAATGTAGCTTGCCTTGCCCAGCACTACCTATTCTTTAACAAATCAGCATTCATAACACTAAATAGTAAATATCTATTTTCTGTCTCAATCTTTTGTATACCCTCTAAACATTTTTCTCATGTGTATTTACTCAATTCACTTTAACTTGTCATAATGATCACCTTTCTCATCACTGGTTACAACAACAACAACAACAATTCTTCCACATTGAAATGCAAGTAGCTATAAAAGTTGCTTATCAAACTTTGCTACCCGTGCGCTATAGCAGAAGCTAAAGTTTCATCTATACATTTAAATTATTCTAGTGACGTGGTAAGAAAATGAATATGCATGTCAAATAAAAGAACAAGTATTGTATATGGTACAATACAGATGCATGGATACACGAAATCTTTTAAAAAAAGATGCAGATAAAGTTTCTCCATGGATACAACAAGCAAGCAATATTCTATTATACAGATTTGAAGTCAAGGGAGCTCGCTATAAGAATCAATCAAGCTTTATGGACTGGGTATTAGCACGACAGTATGACATCGCCTTCTATTTCTAGACCAAAATGCAGGTGTCACCCTAAAGTCAATGACATACCTTACCAATTCCAAACCATGATACCACTGCCATCTTTCCCCAACTAAGTTAAATTGAATCTGCAGGAAACAAATGTTTTTGAAGTGTTGAATGTGTCTCCTTATGGACGTACATGGGTGTGTGCGCGCATGTACGTGCTGTTTTTGAAGTGTTGAATGTTGCTCTTATTGACATACATGGGTATGTGTGCGTGTGCGTGTTGTGCATGCATGTGTTTGTGCATGCATGGACTATTTACTTGGCACATGCAAGCCTCTACTTCCATCTTCCTAATTAAGCTATGTTTACAATGCGACTTTCGTATAAATACAAAGAATATAAAGAAAGTTAAAACTACCATGCTACTTTAACACAAGGCGATTTAATTTACTTGGGAACCTTTTCATACATGTGTTGATATTCCTATAGACAACAAGAAACCCCTGTTGACGATGCCGCGATTGCAAAAAGCACACTAATGAAGAATACAAAAAATAATCTTTAGAACGACAAGTAAATTTCGAAAAGGGGGAAGTACCTTGAGCTGCTTCCCTTCAGCTGGTGAACAAAAGAGTCCACCTTCTGGTAGTCCACAACATCCTGATCTCTGCAAGCAGCAAACCCCCAACATAAATCACAGAGAGAAAAAAAAATAGCCAAAAACCTCAAAAAACGAAAAGGAAAAAAAATAAAAATAAAAACACACAGCAAATTGCTGAGCTCAGACATCATCCTCTCAGAATCATCACAGAACAACTTGATCACCTCAGCCAGAAACCCGCTCCCGTCCTCCTCCAGCATCAGCAGCTGGTTGAACTGCTGATCAAGCAACCCCTGCGACAAAGATCCAAACTTTAACCCAAAAAAAAAAAAAAATCGGAAAAAAACCCTGGCAAGAGATCCAAGCAGCTGGAGCTCACTCCGCGATCATCGAGTTCGCCAAATGCATCCGCTGCCTCCTCCTCGGGCTCATCGCCGCCCATTCTCGATCGCGATCAAAGCAGCGAGCCAAAGCTTTTGTCCAGTGGAAAGAGGGTTCGAGCATCAAAGATGGCGCCTTTGAGAGAGAGAGAGAGAGGGAGAGAGCGGGGGTCAGGGGTTTAAAGAATAATTTTTGGGTCTAAAGAATAATTTTTGGGTAGTGGATTATTGCTGTCTTTTTGTCTTTTTAGGTTAATTAGCACCTAAATATTTTTAGGCCTCGTTTTTGTTATAATGTTGAAGTAACCGGCGTTAAATTTCAACATGATAATTACTATTCTAAAATAACACCGTGCAAATCACGACATATCATTTTTTTTCCTGTTATAGTAATCCTAATTTCTAAATGCTGCAGTAATATTTTTAAAAATTGCTACAGTCCCGCCTCTGCTACAGTATTCTCGTGCGTTACAAGGATTTTTTTTTTCAAAAATCATTGCATTGTCTAGTTTCTTGTTTACTACAGTAATAATGATAATGTAGTATTTACTGTAGTACGAATAGTGAATTTTGGGTTCTCTCATTTGTATAGAGGAGTGTAGATATAACAGTTATGGGAGAATCGCTATAACTCACCAATGGTCTTCTCTGTCATTATGCGTTGTATTAATTAATTAATTATAAGCCTGATATATTTGGCTTGTATGTATGATTTTTTTAATATTTATTTCACTTTTCTTGTGAATATGATTGGAAAAATGATTTATGACAACAATCAATATCCTTTGAGAAACTAAAAGCATCGTTGGTAGACCACAAAACTACTTGGTTTAGTGCTTAGGGATATCAAAATTATTACAACACTGCTTGAAGGGTTCAATGCACCTAAATGTGAAGAGGTGATGGTTTTGTTTTAGTTCATAAAAATACAAATAGTCTGTACAAAAGTAAATAAAGGAGGGATCAATGTAAATACTTATCACAAAAATCATTTTATATTTTGTTTTTTCTTTGGCAGCGCTGCGTAGTTGTTGCAGTAGCACTACCGTAATTTATCGCTTTTCCGATATTAGTCCCCCAGATCATTGATATTTTGAAGATAATTCCCAGTGCTTGATATCTTGAAATTAGCCCCCCAATTCTTTTTATTGTTTTAAAATTAGTTCTCAAAATCTCCATATTTTGAATTTGTCCCTCAAATTTCTTATACTATTTTGATAACAGTCCTTTTATCCATTTTGGCAGAATCCCCTAATAAAACTTACTTTTTTGTCACTTACCCCTTGATAAATTTCAGTAAAACCATCAATAGTGGTTGTTAGTTAGCTTCAGATTTTTTTTCCCAAGGGCCTGTTTTGTAATTTTCAGACTTTTCAAGAGGCTATTAGTAATTTTTTTAATTTTTCAAAAGGTTATTTATAATTTTTAAATTTCTCAGCAGGTTGCATGCAGTTTTGGAATATAATGATCTTTTACAGTTTTTAGATTATTCTGGTGATTGTTGGTAATTTTAAATCTTTTGAAGGATCGTTTATAATTTTTTGTAATTTTTATATTTTCACAAAGGCATTTAGATTTTATCCAGAGGAATCAA